GGTGGTAGTGATATTGCTTAGCATTTCTTTGCTGTTTGTAGATGTATCTTTCTATATGTCATCTTCCCGCTGTGTAACTACCTCTGTCTGTTTTCTCCTTTTGTAAGACACTATTTAGAAGAGATTAGAACCACTCCCACAGTGGTACTACCTTATTACTATAATTGAGCATATCTTCAAAGAAAGATCCTATTTCCAAACATGCTCACCCTCACAGCTACAGGGTTAGGACTTCCACACATCTATCTGGAGCACACAAATCAAACTAAAACAGGAATGCAGCTGACTGGATGAGGTTCACTCTTATTCTGGAGAATAATCTATTTTACATGCCATCAATTACTTTAAATATTAATCACATAAAATAATTCCATAATGACACCTGGACTACTGTTTGATCAAACACTTGGGCAGTTCCAGGGAAAAGTCCTCCTTCTCTAAGTAGAGGCCAGGTAATGGGACCAGAGGTGGGTTTTCTTTAAAGCCCTTTCCTTTCCTGACACCATACCCCCAGAGAAGCACTGGGTATAAACAATCTGATGAAGCCCTTTAGGTCATTAACAGCCTCCTTAAGTCATCCTCAAGCTGGATTGTGAAACGTTGCCTGTTCCAACTTTGCACCTTCAGGCAGGAACCCACTTCCAATAAGACAAAAGTAATCTATACATATTACCTATTTTTTTCAACAATTATAGAAACACATTTCTCTATTTTAATTCAGTAAGGCTGAAGTATTCCCCCAAGATCTAATATGTGAAGCTGTAGATCTAATTCTCTTGAAGTCCTTTCAAAATTCATTCCCCAGCTTAATATATTTAGTGTATATATTTTTGCTTAGGTTGGCAGATGGAAGGTTTTAATATTTCTGCATTACTGGGGGTAGAAACAAGATACTGAGAAAGGAGGGACTCTTCCAAGGTCATTCACAAAACCAAGGATCATGCCAAGAAGTGAAGGTCTAAGCTCTAGCTCATGACTCCATCCACTCTGCAATGCAGTACTGGGTGGATCTGAGGGCCTAATGACTGTCCATTAATTTCCCATAATCAGTTGCCTGTGAGTTGATTCGGAGTCACCTGTGTGTGTGCGCGCCACAGTAGAGCCAGGCGCCCCAGAGTTTTCATTGGCTGAATTTTCAGAAGGACATGACCAGGCCTTTCTTCTCGACCATCCCTGTATGACTCCAACTGTCCCCTCTTCCCTGGTTGAGCAGCATCAACCATTTTCACAACCCAGGAATGCTGAGACCATCCAAGGTCAGGGCCTGCACTTGATGAGTCTGATGGCTCTTCTAATGTGATCCCACCGCTCCACAAGCACGGATGTGTCTGGCAGCAAGGCCAGCCTGCCCCCTGGGAGGTCATGGAAGGTGTGCTCCACGGTCTGAGGGCCTGTGGTGCTTGCCAGTTGCTTGGCTGTCACCCACGAGGTCTGATTTTTCCATGGCAGCTTGCCTGGCCCTTTGGGACTACCCAACACTTGTGTTCTTTAAAACTGGCACAGCTCCGCAACTCATTAACAGAAGATCCATGATGTATGCTAGTTGTTTAAGATTTCTTGGGGAGATGGAGGACAGGATTTTCCATAGGGCAAACATTTATGGGATTCCACTTAAGGTACTTCTCTTACTTTCTTGAGGAAACTGACATGGTCAAAGGGTTTGTGTTCTCAGTTGCTAACTGATAGGTTGGTGGTTCAAGCCCACCCAGCGTTACCACAGAAGGAAGTCCTGGATCTCTACTTCAAAGAAACCAGCCATTGAGAACCCTATAGAGCACAGTTATACTCTGACTCACCTGAATCACCATGATTTGGGATCAACTCGGGGACCAACTGTTATTTTTCCCCTGACATTCCTCCCTAAGGGCTTGTCAACTCATCTACCCTCTTTCCCATAGTCTTTGTAAACCCCTAATTGTCCCGAACAACAGCACATTTTCATGAGCAAAGACACAGCGTAGCCTGGACCCCATCAATATCATACCACTCCTGCGGCTGTTGTTCAGTGTTTGCAAGCTCTAGGTGGTTGTAAATGTGTAAGTACCGTGTATTACTAGAGCATTTAATGTCCCTATTAGCACAGAGGCCACCTACCCCTCATGTCTCCTCAATGTGTCCTCTCAGCCAGAGCACAGTTGGCAAAGCCCTGCACTGTGACACTCTCCAGATTTCCAAGGGAATTCCACTATCCCCCTCAAGGATCTGGATGACTGAAATCTTCTAGATAGGCCTTCCCTATGGGAGTGGGGGGAGGGGGAGTTCTGCTCCTAAGGAATTCTGATTTTCCCTTTGTCTTAGTTACCTTGTGCTGCGGTAGCAAAAGTACCACTAGTGTGTGGCTTTACTTTATTTCTCAGAGCCCGGAAGTCTAGAAGTTCGGATTCTAGAGGTCAACTCTAGAGGGAAGTCCTTCCTTGTCTATTCTAATTGCATGTATGCACGCACGCCTGCCATCGAGCCGATGCCAACTCATAAATCCTTGGTGATGCTGAGTCTATGGATTCATCTGCCTCCGTGTTTACATTCACTGCCCCTTCCTTTTACCACCCGTCTCCCCTCCAGGCTATGCAGGCCTCTGGTTCTTCTCTGCCCTTTCTGTAAAACACCACTTGATTCAGTTTAAGACTCATCCTACTTAGGTATAACCATATTCAAATAACAAAAGCCCCTATTTCCAAGCAAGTTTCTGTTCACAGGTTTAGGTATATATCCTTATCTTTCAGGGACCATAATTCAATCCATAATCTTCCTATCCTGTTGTATATCAGCAGACAACATCAAGACGCCAGCCATAATCCCTCATCCCACTTCTTTGTCTTCATTTCCAACCACCCTTGAAATCCTAATAACATCCTGCCTGAGCCTTCAGACCAGCAGATATGGAGATGTGGACGGGAGGAAAAGCCAGGAGAAAGAGGATCCAAATACACTGGAAGCCAGAGCTTTTATTAGCTTGCAAATGGTTCAGGGTGGTCAGGATTCTCAAAGCTAAGGATGTCTATTTCCATGGTGTGAAATTTGAGTTGTTAAAATGAATATATCAATCTTCCCATTGAAAGGGGTTTTCTATGGACACATTCCATGTAAAACGGCTATGCATTAAGAAGAGTGATTTCCACACGTCAGAGAGGAGACTCCGTCTTGTTGCCTGGTGGTTGAGCTCACTCACACTCACGTGGTAGAGGAGAGGGCGCTGGACTAAGGAATCCTAGAAGCAGCTCCTGCTCCCTTAGGGGACATTGGGCCTTTCCCTCATTGGGAATAGGGATGTTGGCGCTACCAAAAAATAATCAAAAGGAAATCTAATGTGCTCCTTGAGTTCTGCACAATTACTTCCCTAGGGTGATCTTTGTACCTTTGCTGCTCTCCTTTATGTGTAGGCAATAGTGCTTCAGATAATTCCATGTTCTTGTTTTATCTATAATTAATAACAGGAGCCATAATAAGATAAAGAACATGCACTTACTTATCTCAGTAACAACATGAAAAGATAAATTACAAACACAAAGAAGCATGCTGCTGTGAAGTTGATGTTGGCTCATGGCGTCTTCACGTGTGCCAGAGCCGACCTGGGCTGTGGAGACTTTGCTTGGCTGTGGGGTTAACAGAAGCAGATTCGCAGGCCTTTTTGCAGCATTGCCACTGGGCTGATTCTAATGTTAACCTTTGGGTTTGCAGCAGAACATAGCCTAAGTGTTGCTTCCTAAATGCTGCTTCTTTGAGTCATCAAAGAGACTTAGTATATATATATATATATATATATACTAATATATATATATATATATATATAATTTTATATATATATAAAATTAAAAATACTTGGGATATTATATACATATATATCAAATAAAATAATATATCAAACCCATTGTCATCTAGTTGATTACTATAGTGATATGAATTCTGAGCCAAAAAAAAAAGAGAGAGAAAACAAGCAACCTCATCTTTCTCCGTTTGAATGGCTGGTGGGTTTGAACTGCTGAACTTGTGGTTAGTAGGCCAACACCTGAGAGAGAGAGAGGAGCGCAGGAGAAAGAGTGTATTCCCTGGTAGCACTTGGTTGCTATCTGAAATGTCAGAGGTCTGAACCCATCAGCTGCTTCTTGGGAGGAAGATGAAGCAGTCTGCTTCTGTAATGATTTAAGTCATTAAAAACCCTATGGGGCAATTCTACTCTGTCTTACAGGGTCACTGAGTTGCCATTGACTTGATGTCAGTGGGGTTTCATATATATATATATATATATATGTATACATATCCAAATATGTAATTTTCACTTTTAAACTTAGTTACATTGAGTTTTAGAAATTATTAAAATCCATTAATTCAAGATAAACATCATACAAATAAATTTTAAATAGAACTTTATAAATAAATAATTTACATGAAATAATGAATAAAATCAATAAAAGATATTTTGATTACTATAAAACATATCATAGTTTTAATTTCATATTACTTATTTTACACTAATCATGGGTTACCCCATTTGAATTTGGTGAGGTGGCCAGTGGAATTGGAAAGTTGCAGAAGGGACTTAAAAAATAAATTTACCTAAGGACAAAGGGTTAGGGAAGGAGAAATGGAAACAGGAAACACAGGGAGAAAGCGCAACAAGCGGCGGTGCATTAAGGGGGTGGAAATGGATGCATTGAAACAAAATGTGTATAAAAGTTGAAGGTAAAACGGATGGTCTGCTCTGTAAACCTTCACGTAAATCGCAGTAAAAGTTAAAAATAAATAGCACGAAAGAAAAGAATCCTATGTCAAATAATAAAATGAAGTATTTGTCTTTATTCTTGAATACACGCACTTGGCTTAAAATCTAGCATTTCCTTCTTTCTGGGCAGATCTGGGAGCAGCGACTCAGTCCGTCATTTCGCTTTGTTCCACTAGATGGCCCTTTGCGCCCTCGGATCCTCGCGAGGCGTTCAGACAGGTGAGTGAATCTCATTGGCTTCTGGGAGGCATGATGCCACCAGGCAGCCCTTTTTAAGAGGAAAGCCAGGACAGGGAATCGCGGTCCTTGAGCAGCCGAGCTGTGCTGAGCGCTAAGATCCAGGAACTGCTGTGCTGACGCCAACATGAGCGAGGTGAGCAGTGTTTCTAACAGGGAGAGGGGGAACTTGGGAGTGCGGAGAGGGGACTTGGGTGGCACAGTTTGTCTAGAGACCTGGGTGGAGGGTTTAGGTGTCATGGGGAGGAACACATCTACCCTGGACCATATTTGAGTCTTGGTTTGTAACGGCAAGGGCAGCATTTGGTTAAGCTTGCAACTTTCTGTCAGCCAGAGCAACAGAAAGGTGTTAATCGTTTGCTCCTGATTTAATTCTGACTACCTGAAGTGTTCGGGGTTTTATTATCTTGGGAAGATGTGTGCCCCGGGCAGCCTGCCCATATGTATTCTCTTTGGTGATACCTTTCCAGACTGCTAGCAGGCAGACCATCTGGAGAAAGGAAGCTTTGGAGGAGAAGTGGGAAAGGGTTTGGGATGTCTGGCTCTTTATTGCACTGCCGGATAGAAGTAATGGCTGTACAAACTACATCTGCAGTTAATCAGGACATGGGGTGTGTGTGCAAACAGTGTCACCTACAGAAAACCCTGCGCGTATGGCTATATGGGTATCCGATGGGAGGAGGCATTGATAGAAGACAAGCTGTGATGTAAAATTGGAAGTCACTTCTATGAAAATATCTTTCGTATGTATTTGGTGGTGGCAAACTGGTAACTCATTTGATTTTTCAAAGAAGAGCCTGTTCTTTTCCTATTTTCACGAGGCAGATTTTAGGTTGTAAAACAGCATCCTCTAATTCAGCTAGATGATCAGCCAAGCCCGTTTTCATTTCCTCTTGGTTGGCACTTGAATAATCACTTTTTAAAAATCTTTTATCCTCTCTCTCTCTCTCTTTTTCTTCTTTTGAAAGATGGACGATTCTTTTTGAAAGTCTAGAGTAAATTTAAACACTTCAGAAATAAAATTTCCTCTTCACCGCTTTGTATCTCTTTGAAGGGTGACTTTTGAGATCAACATTCCAGAAAGGAGGAGCGGGCAGAGCATGATAGAATCGAGGAATTAGGTTTGGGATGGAACCAACGGCTTGAGCAGGGAAGACAGCTAATGTGGGGTGGAAGACGGGAAGTCCCTTCGCAACAGCAGTAACGTAACTACAACAATAGCTAATATCTGTCAAGTGGTCTGCACACCCAGCGTGGGGCCCACCGTTCAGCAGTGCTACCCTATTTGAACAACTCTGGAGCAAGGGGTTAGTATTACTCCCAATTGACAGAGGAGGAAATTAAGGCGGAGACATAGTAATGAATTTGCTCACCATGAGCATTTAGTGCTTGGCAGACCAGCACTTGGTCTGCAATCCTGCCAGGTGGATCTTGATGTGCAAATGCATGTGGAATGTTCTGAACAGCTGGTGCCAGAGGAGGAGGCAGGATGACGGTGGGAGGTGGAGAGAGGGAGGTAGGGCAATAAGGACAAGGCTCTGTCGCCCACAGACGTGGGTCGTCCAGGGACTTTCTGCTGGAATCTACAGACATGTCCGAATCAACTTACTTTGAGTCAGCTTCCCTGGCTTGAGAGAAGCGAAATGGGCTTGGAATGGGAGTTTTAACACTGCTTAGCAGCTTCTCATAAAAGAAGGGTTTAGACCAGTTCAGCCTTGGATAGCCCCTCTTTTGAGGCTTGTCTACTTGTCAGGGATGCCTCTCCTGTCAGCTCATCTGCCCAGCCAGGGTACCCTGCACTCTCCAGAGAGCCACAGCTCAGCTAAGCTCACATCACTGTGTTGGTCTTCAGGGAGCCAGAGAATTTCCTGAGCTCAGCCCATTATTACCACCCATTATTAGGGTCATAACCTGGTTTCACTGAATGTGTAATTGGGGCAGCTCCACAGTAGCTGTTTCCTGGACCCCAGCCCCCAGGATTCCGTTCAGACACATTTGCAGTGTTAAAGCCTCTCCCTTTGGTGTTGATGAAATTCCACAACATGCATATTCCACTTGTTTGGCCCCCAAGAATGCTCACCAAGTCCCTTCTAGCTCTTCGCACCTTTCTCCTTCCTGATCCCTCTGTGCCCATCCTGCCTGTCAAATGACATGCCATCCCCGCTTCTCCCCCACCCCCCAACTCCCCGGCCTCCAGCCACTACTGAAGAAGTGTCCAGGCCAGTTTAGTGAACATTCTCCGGCTGATGTCCAAGTTCCTGCCAGGCTGTTCCTGGGAGAGCAAGAATTTGTCCTTTAGCTTATACTTCAATCTGCTTACAACATTTAATAAAGTTGGACAGAAATTCCTTTCTTGGGAGAGAACTGGAGTACCCCTCCACCAAAAAATAAATAAATAAATAAATGTTTTCTTTGGTTGAAAGCGGCTTAATTAAATGTGGCTTCTAGTTTTCATAACTCTCAGGAAGAAGTAGATTTCATAGGATCATTTACTTACTCTTGTGACTAATTGCCGCATGGGTCAAAACAATGGTTTCTCTCTGACTCTGTTTTGATTTCAGGATTTATTTATGTCTGGTGTGAAAATAGTTCCTACTTCAGCCATCAAGGGTTAAGTCCTCCTGCAGTAATTCTAGAAAGTTCTAGCTGTCACTGGACTGGCATGAGGTACTGGGTTGGGCAAGAGAGCATTCCCAAAGGGTTTCACATTCACAAGGGTTCGCAGACAATAAGGTGAATGAGCAAAGCACTGCCTTGAACCTGGGTGACCGGACAGCGTGGCCACACTTTTTTGGGGGGAGGACTGACATGTGATTGAAAAGAGCAACTGAAGTATAGGAAGCAAAGTAAAGTCCAAATTTAGGGCAGCTCACGTGAGAGAGTGGAGGTGGTTTGTGGGGGTGTCTAATTTACATTTCAGCATTAAATATGTCAGATGTTCCTGGAGCAATAGACGAGATGGATTGGAAGACAATTTAGCAAGGATCAAGTTGAAGGATTAAGAATATTAGCTGGAACAAGAGTTCTACCCATCATGGTTCATGTTTACAAAGTGCCCTTTCTCCTCTTTCTGTGGATCCCACCGTGCACCAGAACTGAAGAAAAAGGCTCCCTTTGTCTAGCCACCTAATACTTTTTACATTTTTAAAATTTTAAGTTCTGTGAACAATAACAACCAGTCCCCTGTTCTTATTTAGGTATTCTGTTTTTCAAGGAGCTTTCCAAAAGAACTTATTTACACTGGCCAGGAGCAAGGTTTTACTGCAAAAAAAGCCTTTCAGGCAAGTATTTGCAAAGTTGATTTTAGTAACAACACCCGGACCCCTGCCTGGAAAGAAGTTTCCAGGTCAAGTAACCCTTTAGTTGACAGGTCTTACTTCTAGTTGGGGTGTCCTTAGGAAAAGCACCCTCCTGACCCCATGGCTTCACTGTGATAAACTTTCTTCCTGAGTTGTCTTAGATGGGAAGTTTTAACTCAGTACCAACATTGCGGGTCTCCCTTTGTCTAGATATTTGCTTCCAGGAAAGCTCCATGTTTGCCAAAAGGTGCCAACACCAAGGGCATTTAAGGGCAAAACCCCTGATGCAGTGAAACCTTCCTGAGATGGAGTTTGCTGACGGAATTGACTTATATTTTCAGGTCTCGAAAGTTTTCTGGTGTTGATAGGAAACATTCTTTCAACTTTTCTTTCTTTCTTTACATTTTATTGGGAGCACTTACAGATATTAGAACAATCCAGCGTTCAATTAGATCAAGGATGATTGTATAATTGTTGTCACTATCGTTTTCAAAACATTTTCTTTCTTCTTGCACTCTTTGATATCCGCTCCTTTTCGTCCATACCCTCTCTCTCCCTGCCCCCCGGCACCCTTGTTATTATATTAAATATTATTATTTTTCTTTATTTTTTTTTAGTATCTAACACCATCCAATGTATCCGTACACCTGCTCTTCTGTTTGTTCCCCTCAAGTGGAGTTATATAGTCATTGTTGCTATTTCCCCACCCCCCTAATTTTCTATCATGCTCTAACTAATGGTTCTGCCTTTCATGGGTTTTATTGAAGATGAAAACAAACAATAACCTATAAGGAAAGAAGAAAGCAGTGATTGGCATTGTCTGGACAGAGATTGGCAGGGGGAGCAAATGCCCCCTGGAGTCTAAAGACGCCAACCGAGAATGCACATGAGCTTTTGTTGGTTGGTTGGCTGGTTTATCATCAAAGTAGACGGTGGTTTTAAAAACCAGCATGCACCAGAGGACCGGGGTTACAGTTATCCCTCAAAGGAAGCTGCTGGGGAGAGAGAGATGGTAGAAGGAAGCCGACCTCAGGTGGGAAGTATTGGAGATGTGGATTTCTAATGAGATAGTAGTGCACTGAAACAGATGGGTGGGGAATTAGGTTTGCAAGGAGCTGTTAATTGTTGTCCAGTTGTGGAGCCTGGATTTTGAGGGTAGCTGCTTGAAGTGTGGGCTTTGTAACTGGTTCCAGGGGCCATCAGCTGAAGGTCACACGGCAATTCAATTTCTTATGTGATTTCAACTTCGTTTGGGGGCAGAGCTGCAGCTGAGCAACAGAAAGATCCAGGAAGATCAGTACTGGTTTTGTGAGATCGCACACTGATAGATGCTCTGCTTCCTCTCATGGAAAGATCAGGTCTAGAAAGACACCGGTGATGATTTGGCTTTGAAGCTTGTCTTCCCCGACTGTGAAGAGAGCAAGAGTAAGCAGGAAAATGTGTTTGCTGGGCCGCTGATTGCGATGGACTGCCGTGAAAGCTGCCTTCTGCAGCCCGCATTTCAGTCACGAATGCGGAGCCATGTGGAAGTCTCTGTGCACTAGTCTTCTTTTGTGAATCCTAAGCATGACATAATGCTGCTAGATACATATTTTTTTTCCAGAAGGAAAAAATGTGAATCAATGACTCACGATTGATTTCATGGAAGGTTAGGTGAGGTGGTGTGGCAAGGATTTTGAAAACTAGGTTTTGGAATGGAAAGTGCCTTGTATTTATGAAAGCACTGTCTATGTTATTAATGTTTTTAAATTCTAATTTCTGCACTCAAACGAAGTGTTACGCACTCACAATTTGGCCGTAGTCCATCACCTCCTGTCCCTTGAGCACACTGTCTTAG